CGTCTAATGAGATGACCATATGATTTTTATCTTTCATTTTGTTAATGTGGTGTATCATGTTGATTGATTTGCAGATACTGAACCATTCTTGCATCCCTAGAATAAATCCCACATTATCATGGTGTGTGATCCTTTTAATGTGATGTTGAATTTGGTTTGCTAACATTTTGTTTCTTGTTTGCTGAACAATAAACCTTTGAATCTAATAGTGTGGCAACTCTGGAAATCAGATTCTCCTTCCCTGGAGTCTGCCGGGTTTTTTGTTTTGTTTTTGTTTATTTTTTGATCATTGTGGTCTGTGTCTGTGCCAAGGATCAGAATAATGTGCAGATTAAGGTCTTCTCAGGTCTTTTTTAATCCTTCTGGGCATGCATGGCCACTTTCTAATTTTCCCCATATATGCAGTAATTTCTGAATGTCCTAGTCTTTAATGTCTGAATCCCAAAAGGGGAGAAGGCAAAAAATGAAGGGGGGGAGGGGTGTTGGCCCTTTAAATCACCCAGAAGTCATTTCAGATGGAGGGGGAAGTTCTTGCAAGAATGGAGGGGGAGGTGCAACAACAGTGGCTATCTACCTGTTTTCCTGCACTTATGTGATCAGAAGCAGCAATCAGTGAATTAGAGCATAGATCCCTGATATTTGGAGTACATAGCCCTTTTTGCCTACCACAAGCTATGCGCAAGCAACTCCTGGAATACATGCATAGCTACCTGCCATGTGGCTGGAGATGTTGAATGGGTAGCTGCTACTGTGCTAAGGAGCTAAAATTGACGAAAATTAACTGAAATTTGCAATTTACCATCCAGGTCTCCCCCTGGAAGTTTCAAGTCTTCAACAGACTCTAGAATTCTGAAATAGTTACATCAGACAGATTCTGCTAATGCAATTGTTGTCTCGGTGGGGAGATGGATTCCTGGTGTGTCCTAGCCCACAACCTCCCCAGAATCCTCCTCTAAATTATTTTTTAATTACCTTCAAAAACCATCATATAGTCTCCAAGTTGTCAAAGGTAAACAAAGCCAGACATTAAAGTGGTAAGGACAGATTTTAATCCATAATATACTATTGCCATAGGAAAAAGAGTCTAGCATAAAGTGAATTCTGCTTCGAGTTGCACAGAAGTGACATTTTAAAGGGAGAGTGAGGGTGTAGGCAAGAGGTCAAGCAAGGGCTCAGCAGTGTTGGGAAAGTGAAAAATTACAAAAAGAGGTGAGAGGTCCACGTGAAACCCATCTCGATTTGCTACCTGGCACTTATAAATTTAGGCTCCTACCCTCCATAAAGGCTAGGAGACAGGAGCCCTGTCTTCAGGTGTTGGGTGGAACAGACAGTAAGGTCTTTTGACAGCCTTGAGTTTTCTTAGGCAAGCAGTTTAAGGAGGGCTGGGGTCATCACAGGGATGGGGCCTTGAGCGGTTAGAAACTATGGTAGTATCTGTTCAAGTCTTTATAGTTCAGGGTTGAGGCTTAGTGAGGAGGGGGACTCAGAGGAGCCAGGCTAGAGTTTGGTCAAGGAGATAACGTTTGTCAAAGTAAAAAAGGAAAAAACTACAGATACAGCCAAAGTTGCCTGACAATCATTCCCAACCTTAGTTCATTCATGCTTCTCTGAGCTCAACTTACCCCTGTTATTGGAGTAGGTGAGCCTCCTTCCAAAGTTGGAATGCACTTATGTATGTATGTATGTGTATGTGTGTGTGTGTTTGTGAATTCATAGGAGACATATATGTATGCGTTTTAAGAAAGCTGTTTCTACTGGTTTCACTGAACAAGACGTTCCAAGAGTCCTGCCATGATGGTACCATTATTTTTTATTTGAACGTGGTAGCCTATAGTGTGATTTGTCCGTAGTCATTCTAGTTTCCTATGGAGGGCAATTTGGGTCGTTTCCAATTTCTATTGGAAATGCGACAAACTGGATGGCAATAAACACTCTCATGAATGCCTCCTTGAAGTGCTTCTTGAACACAGAGATGGAAAGGTGGAATTACTGGGTCCTTGAGCATGCATTTAAAATTTTAATAGATGCCACCAAATTGCCTTTCTTTAAAAATAATTTATTTGTTTGGCCGTGCCAGGTCTTAGTTGTGGCACATGGGATCTTCGGTGCGGCGTGTGGGATCTTTAGTTGTGGACGGTAGACCATTTAGTTTACTGCATGCAGGCTCTTAGTTGTGCCATGCCGGATCTAGTTCCCTGCCCAGGGTTCGAACCTGGGCCCCCTGCATTGGGAGCTCAGAGTCTTAACTGCTGGGCCACGAGGTAAGTCCCCAAATTGCCTTTTTAAACCAGCACAACCCCCTTACATTCCCACCAGCTGGGTAAGAGTGTTTATTTTTCCACTTTTCCCAGCGCCGGATAGAATCAAAGTTCCTAATACTTGCTAATATGCTGGGTCAAGCTAGTCATTTTGTTTGATTGTTTCCACTAGCCATCTGTGTCTCCTTTTCTGGGACCTGGCCCAAGTCCTCAGATATTGAAATGACTTCTGATGGAATTCTGCGTTGTTCCCTGGTACTGGTGGTGGGGTCACAGCCCCAGAGTGATGCTAAGGGCAGGATGGAGACGGGGAAGAGCGAGCGGCAGAGGGAGTGAAGAAAGGCAAGTCTCCATCCCTCCCCGCCCCCTGCAGCTGGGAAGGAAACTAAGGAGAGGCCCCAGACTCCAGCGTCCAAGGTCTTGGCCAAGCGTATTCTCTGTCCAGTTTTTCTGGTTCTTGGCTGGGGGCAAGGGAAGGGCAGAGCAGGGCAATGTCCTGGGAACTGCTGTGAGTGGGCCAGGCAGGCTGCGGGTGGAGCTCTTCCCAGCTGACACTTCCTGGGCTTGTCTTATCTTCTAGAAAGTCCTTTCTTCATGCAGCAGTGCCAGATACAGGGAGAAGGGGGAAAGAGCGGGCAAAGGGAGGTACAAAGGTAAAGCTACTTATGCTCAGCCCCCACACCCAGCAGGGCAGATAACTTCCAGCTGGGTGCTGCTGTGCACATCGTGCTGGTTGGCTCTGCACTGCTATACCCCGTGTGCTGGTGCTGGCCCTGCTTCCAGCCCGCTCTGCACCGGACCCATGCAGCTGCTCAGGGTCCTCTGCCTCCTCTGGATGCTCAGGGTCTCCCTGGGGGCCACAGGTGAGGGAGCGAGGTGGAGGAGGGCTGGGGAGACCCTCCTGATGTTCCAGGACAGGGGTGTGTGTGGGGGGCGGTGGCTCTGAGGTCTAAGGGGAGGCTGAGGAGGGGCCCCTCAGAGCTCCTGGTGCAGGGAGAACCGTAGGCAGTGGGAGGAGAGGGAAGCTGGCTCCAGCGGTGCTGCTCTACACCCGGGACCCAGCAGGTTTGTAGGAGTCCGCGCGTGCATCAGGAGGGTGGGATAACCTGTTTCTGAAAGAGTGCTCTTCCCACTTTGACTCAGTTTTCCGAGCCCCCTTCCTCTTGTGGCCCCTGCTCCCCAGCCCTGATGTTTCCTCCGCCCTGGATTCTATCCCTCCCTTTACTTCCATCGGTTCAGCCCTCCTGAGGGTCCCTGGCTCTGCCCCTGGGGCCCCCTCCTCTCCCTGGGGAGTCCACACCTTTGGTCCCAGTGCCCCCTCCTCCAGCTCTGCCCCTAACTCTCCCACCCCGACCTAGCCTATGTTTCTGGGCACAGCTGTCATTGGCAGGGCTGTGCGGGGAGAGCCTGATGGCTCCCAAAGGGTGGTTCTGAGACCACCTGGTGTGGGGTCCTGCTCTTTCTCCCACCCCTTTGGAACCTCGGAATTACTCTTCACTTCCCTTCCCTCTGCCCCCCAGTGTCTGCTCCTGAACCCCAACCGTAGACCTTCCCAACATAGAGGTCCTCTGGTCCACCCTCTCACTTATCTCCAGGGCCACCTCCTGGCTATAAGGGCTCTGGGCCAGGAACCTTCATAATCCCCTCCCCTATCTCCCTGACACCCCAGCTAAGCTGAGTAGTGAAACCCCAGCTCTCAGAGCAAAGATGTGCTGAGTCTGAGTTGAGAAAGCTACCCCCGAGTGGACAGGAGGTCTGGGTGTTTCCTGCTAGCAACTGCTGTGGCTGCCGGTCACCCTCAGCATTATGAGATGTTTGACTCTCACTTTTATCACCTGTAAGATGGGGATGACAACACCTGTAGAGGGAGGGGCTCATATTTGTAAACTAATTAATTCCTTGGCCGAAATAGAATAGGTGACGGAAAATATAGCTATTTTTATTATTAACACTCACTGCTACACCTTAAGGTCTTCAGGACTCATGCCTGCCTGCCAAGTTATCTCTTTCTGGAAATTTCCTTTTCTTTCCTGTTCCTCCGCCTGTGTGTGATCCTCTCTCCTTGTCCTCAAACTCAATGAAGTCTGAGCTTCAATCTCTGCTTTTCCCTTTTTTATTCTCTTTGCAACTTTCTTCTCTCTGACCCCTCGTCTCCCAAAGTCCATGATGTGTCCCCACCCTCAGCCCAGGATTGGCTGGGTTCTCTCTCTCTCTCTCTCCAAAGAGGAGAGTCAGCCCAGACAGCAGTGGGTCACAGGGAGACGGGCAGAGGTGGGCCAGAGGGGGCGGGGGTGGCGCAGAGAACCGGAAGGGACAAGGACTTTGGGGTGTGTGAGGAAGAAGGGGTGGGGGTACCGATGGGAGGAGACAGGACCTTCTGCTG